ATACTTGGCTGCTGTTGGGTGCAGAGTTCGGTATATGTATATGAGATCAAGTTGGTTGATTGTAGCTTTTAGCTCTTCCGTGTCTTTGTTGAGCTTCTCTCTGGATGTTCTGTCCTTCACTGAAAGTGGTGTGTTGAAGTCTCCTACTACTATTGTGGAGCTGTCTATCTCTCTTTTCAGTGCTGTTAGAGTTTGTTTTTTGTATTTTGGGGCCCTGTCGTTGGGTGCATAAATATTTATCATAGTTATGTCCTCCTGGTGTATTGACCCTTTAATCATTATATAGTGTCCTGCTTTATCCTTTGTGGTGGATTTTACTTTAAAGTCTATTTTGTCAGAGATTGATACTGCCACTCCTGCTCTTTTTTGAGTGTTGTTTGCTTGATATATTTTTTCCATCCTTTAAGTTTTAGTTTGTTTGTGTCTTTAAGTGTAAAGTGTGTCTCTTGTAGGCAGTATATAGACAGATCGTGTTTTTTTATCCAATATTCCTCTCTCTGTTTCTTTACTGGTGCATTTAGTCCATTTACATTCAGTGTAATTATTGATAGGTATGAGTTTAGTGCTGTCATTTTGATGTCTTTTTTTGTGTGTTGTTCACAGTTTCTTTGTTCCACTTAATTTTCTGTGCTGAGCCCTTTTTCTTCATGTATTTTCTTTTCATCTTTTTCATTGTTGTTGATTTTGTGTTTGCTGAGTCTTTATATTTTTCTAATTTTTTATTTTGACTTGTAGGATTGTTAGTTTTCTTTGTGGTTACCTTAATATTTACCCTTATTTTTCTAAGTTTATACCAGTCTTTTGTTTCTTTATATTGCCTTGACTTCCTCTCCATATGCAAAATCTATGTCTACATTTTTTAAGTCCCTCTTTTTTGTTTTAATGTTGTCATCTTTTACATACTGACATCTGTTTCCTTATTTTCAGTGTTTTAGCTTTGATTTACTTACGTGACTTCCCTATCTGGGTTGATATCTGCTTGCTTTGTCCTGTGTTCTAGTGTTGGGTGGTTATCTGATGTTACAGATTTTCTAACTGGAGGAGTCCCTTTAGTATCTCTTGTAATTTTTGCTTTGTTTTTGCAAATTCCCTAAATTTCTGTTTATCTGGAAATGCCCTCATTTTGCCATCGTATTTGAGAGACAGTTTTGCTGGATATATAATTCTTGGCTGGCAGTCTTTTCCTTCAAGGCTTGATATATGTCATCCCATTGCCTTCTTGCCTGCATGATTTCTGCTGAGTAGTCCGAGTTTATTCTTATTGAGTCTCCTTTGTAGATGACTTTCCATTTATCCCTAGCGCTCTGAAAATTGTCTCTTTATCTTTGGTTTTGGCAAGTTTGATTATAATATGTCTTGGTGACTTTCTTTTGGGAACTACCTTATGTGCGGTTCGATGAGCATCTTGGATAGATATCTTGTCATCTTTCATGATAGCAGAGAAGTTTTCTGCCAACAAATCTTCAGCAATTCTCTGTGTATTTTCTGTTACCCTCCCCTTTTCTGGTACTCCAGTCACTCGTTAGTTATTCCTCTTGATAGAGTCCCACATAATTCTTAGGGTTTCTTCATTTTTTTAATCCTTTTTTCTGATTTTTTCCTCAAATAAGTTGATGTCAAGTGCTTTCTCTTCAATCTCACTAATTCTGACTTCCATTGCCTCAGTTCTGCTCCTATGACTTTCTATTGAGTTGTCTAATTCTGAAATTTTATTGTTACTCTTCCGGATTTCTGATTGCTGTCTCTCTATGTATTCTTGCAGCCTGTTAAAGTTGTCATTATGCTCTTCTCTAATCTTTTATATTTCCTTTATTGCTATTCTGTGTTTTGCTTGATTTCCTTCCTAATTTCTTGAAGAGTTCTGTATGTTAATCTTTTGTATTCGGCCTCTGGTAATTCCAAGAAATCTTCCTCCTCTGGAAAACTTCTAGTTTATTTTGGGAGCTTGCTGAAGCCATCATTGTCTGCCCCTTTATGTGATTTGATATTGACTGTTGTCTCTAAGCCATCGATAAGTTATTATATTTATTTACTTTATGTTTGCTTACGGTGTTCTAGCTCTTGTTTTGTTTTGATATGCCCAAATAGGCTGCTCATATGAGCTAGTTTGATTACTGGCACCTTTGAAGCTCTAATGTCCTGCTACGAGGTGGGTAGATCTGTTACTAGGTATGTGAGCTCAGGAGTAGGCCCACTCCTCCTGTGTGGATTCAGCTCAGGTGCCCAGGTGATAGCCACCAAGTGTGTGGTGTAGCTCTCACTTACAGTCCTAGACAGGCATGAGTGATTGGTATAGGCACAGGCATCTAGCTGCAGCAGGCGGATACACTCTGAGCAAGGCAAGGGGCAGATGGTTGCCCCCAAGTGTCCAGGAGGAAGGCGTGTCCCTGTTCCCTAGAGTGCATAGATGGGTTGGTTTTGCAGCTAGACTATGAGCACCTAATGCTGTTGGCTGTAAGGACTGGGGGGCACCTCTTTTTCATGGGCCCCTCTTGCAGGTGGCTAGGTGGCATGGGTGGAGCCACCGTCCTCAGGCCCCTGATGTCAGTAGGTGAAGACCCTGCTTAATGCGCAGAGCAGTGTCAAATGTAACGGACCTGCCACTTCACAGCTAAAACAGTTGAAGTTAGACATCCAGTGTATACCCTGTTGTACTGAAGTAATGAGGGCCTACGCTGTTGAAATGGGCCCACACAGGTCTATGCAGGGGGAAAGGCACTGAAAGCCTGTGGATCCATTATGCCTGTGCCTAGGCAAAGGAGCTGTGCCTACCCTGGGTTCCTGGCTTAGAGGAGCTGGCGGTTTATTTTTTCCCATTTGTTAATTTGTTCACTCTCCAAGGCAGGGAGAATGGCTCCAGGCATGTGACTGATCCTACTTCTGGCCCAGTGGACTCAGCAATTGCTGAATGCAGTCCAGGACCTGGTGCAGAGCAGGGAGTGGGGAGGTAAATGGGAGAGAGGTTTTTCCCTAAGGGGGGTGTTTTTGATCCGCACGGTAGGCCGTACACAATTACTTATCTTTCACCGGATCAAGGGCTGGTTCTCACTGGTTTTGGGTGGCCATGTAGACTCTCTGGCGCTGAGTCTCTCCTGGTGCAGAAAATGCGCCTCCCGAGTACCGATGCTTGCCTGCCTCACCGCTCCCCCTGAGCTGATCAGGCCTGAAGGGCTCAGGCTCTCACCAGGTCAAGTCTGGCAACTCCTCGCTGCTTCTGAACCGTCTCTCCCTCCATCTGCCACTCCGTCTGGTTTCTCAACTTTTCCTTTGATATTCAGGGCTCCCAGATTGCCATATATAATCAAATCACTTGTTTTTTCGGGTCTTTGTTGTAAGAGGGTCCACCGGAAGCGTCTGACTAGTCTGCCATCTTGGCCCCACCTCTCTCTCTTTTTTTTTAAACTGTTTATTTTTAAAAAGTTATTTTTACAGGTCAAATTTGACACGTTTTTTTCAAAATATAATAGCAGCAATGGTAAATACTTTCATTGCAAGTGTCAATTTCTAACTAATCAGTAGTGGCTATATGCATGTTGAGTTAAGAAAGATTCTGAGACTGAGTCTGACTTCTCAGAAAAGACAGTTATCATTGCATAATAGTGTCTTCTAGGGATGCAAGATAGAGAAGTGGCCGTGTAAGTCGTGTATTTACCATCCCTGGATAATAGGAAGAAGAGTTCACATTTATAATATCTTTTTAGAGATTACTAGAAACATACTAGTCTAAGCTAAAAATATTGTTTAGCTGAAAATAAAGACCATGTTAACACTTAACCATTGTATCTATCCTGTAGGTTAATGCATCACGTCAAGAAGCCAAACTGATGGAGGAGTGTGATCTTCTCATTGAGATCATTCAGCAAAGACGACAAATTATTGGAACCAAGATCAAAGAAGGAAAGGTAAGATTTCTAAGGCAGACAATTTCATATTCTCTACCTGGAGAAAACATCATACTCACATTATATTCCGGTGGCTTTGAAAATGATGAACACCCTCTTTTTCTGTCTTTTCTATAATTTCCTCCTTAGTTCAAAAGCAATTTCTTTCTCCGATCCCTTCTTTGTATTCTTGGTATCCTGTGCATGCCTCCAGCACAAGGGCTTCTCCATTGCACACCTCTAGGGAGCAGTATGGAGGTCTTAGCTACCATAGCCATTGTTTTCCATCTATCTCTTCTCTATAATTTTGATGGACTTCATCAAAATTTAAAACTTCTCCTCAAAAGGCACTATTAAGAGAATAAAATGATTAGCCACAAACTGGCAGAAAATATTATTTCCAAAAATAAGCCAATGAAAACTCTGGGGATCACAACAGTCCGATCCGATTGTACACAGGGTCACCGTGAGTCAGGCTGACTTGACGCTGGAAATCTGAGGAACCAGGCAGGGAGAGCAAGTATGGGCAAGGGGCCCCATTGAGGGGCTTGGGGCCCTACAGGTGGTGACAGGGCAGTCTGAGGGCACTGAGTGAAGAGGAGGCTGGTGGGCCCCCTCTCAGAAGTGGGGACCTGGAGGAAGAATCTTGCAGAATGGTGGAGACCATGAAGGTAAATGGCATCCACCTCATTCCTTTGCCTACGTCTGTCTCTGGGGCCAACCACAAGGCTGTTAAACTTGGTGTAAACCATCTCACTGCAAATCCTCCAACTGAGGAGCTTGCCAAGCAGGTGATGTTACACATGAATACATACTGGCAATTCCTGCTCTCAGACTGTTGTTCGCTCTTTGAAATAAATAGCTTGACAGCGTTAAGAGTTGGACAGCCTTGGGAGGCACAAGCCCAAAGGCTCCCAGGGAAAGCCTTTTCTTCTTTTTTCAGTGGTAGGGGATAAGTTTCATGTCAGCACATGGAAAGCTGACGGCATCCACCAGATTAAGCAAGTTGTACGTTTACCATTCAGACACCTATCTGTGGTAAACTACTGAAGGCCACAGCTAAACAAGATAAGAGTCCCTTCTCTTCACTGCCTTTTAGCTACTGGAAATCTCAAAAATGTAAGAGAATTAACTGGGACTAAATGTATCGGCTTTCCACAGCCTCAAAGAAGCACTGAGTACTGGCCTCATCATCAGTTTAGATATATATGTTAATTGAAGATTAATTGAACACCGCAGTGTTGGAGTATGTATACTACACATACATACACACACACATATGTAAAAGCTTTTAAAATGCATTGAAGATAAAAGGATGCTTTCGAAAGAGTGTATAAAGTATAATAAGGGGCACATAAAATTATAAACAGGCCTGTGTCCCCATTAAAGGGAGATTCCAACAGCAAAATATTTCCATGATGGGTATAAAGCGAATTCTAAGTTACAATGTGACAAGCTCACTTCCTGAAGGAAAAATGAACAGAGTCAACTGGGAAAACTTTCCCCTGCAGCTGTAATTCATCCATATATAGGATCTTCTTATATGTGTGTATCTAGTATTTCTTATAAAATAAAATAAAATTTTATTCCTCTTGTTAGAGTTTAAAAATTACGTATTTGCCTGGTTCTTCAAAGATGTGTGTGTGTGTGTGTGTGTGTGTGTTATGTAATGAGGAAATAAGTATTTTGCTAAATTTTCAGTGTCTGATTTTGACAGTTCTTACCATGTAGGACCGTGTTTCTCAGACTAGTTCAAATCACAGCCATCTGATCAGAATCACTTCACCCAGGGGTCAGCACACTTTGTCTGCAAAGGGCCAGATAGTCAATATTTTAGGCTTTGGGGGCCATACGGTCTCTGTTGCAATCATTCAACTCTGCCCAACATTGTAGCACAAAAGCAGCCTGGATAATTCGTAAACAGATGGGTGTGACTTCGTGCCGATAAAACTTTGTTTACAAAAACAGGTGGTATGCTGGATTTGGCCCCAGGCCATAGTTTGTGGACCTCTAACTTAGACTAGTGTTTTTCTTTCTTTCCTTCTTCTTCGTTTATTTAAAAAAAAAAAAAAAAAAAACTGAACCCATAGTAAGATGTGCGTGTGACTTCCAATCCAACATACGTACACAAGCGAGAAAAAGTTTTACAAAGCACCCTCTGCTATTTTGTTTTCTACTCTCCTCCTTAATTTTATTAATGCTAATCCTGACCTTACTAATGGTTCATCACCTGCAGATCAAAAATCATTCAATGCTGGTTAAAGTGCAAATTCCCACTGCTCTGCCGATTACAACGCCTTAACTAGAATCTTGGTGAGGGGGCCCAAACAGCTAGTTTTTTTGAAAAAGACCCCCAATTAATTCTTCCACATGCCAGGTTTGAGAAGCCCCAATCTGGTGGATCAGATGGAATAGTACCCAAACCACCAAACCCACTGCCCTCGAGTCGATTCCGACTTATAGAGACCCTGTAGGACAGAGTAGAACTGGCCCCATAGGGTTTCCAAGGCTGTAAATCTTTACGGAAGCGGACCGTCACATCTTTCTCCCAAGGAGCCGCTGGTGAGTTCAAACCGCTAGCCGTTCGGTTAGCAGCCGAGCACTTAACCATGTGCCACCAGGGTTCCTAAAGTTAAAACAATGCCCAACAAGTGCTCTCGACAGACCAGTTCTGTATTTTCAAAGGCTTGCTTCTGTGTAGGGTGTTTTTTGTTTGTGGGTTTTTTTTTTCTCTTTCCCTTATGTCACTTTAATGTCCAGCATCATGATAAAAGAAGAAAATGGAATTCAAAAAAAGAAACTGGAGTTCAAACATGGTCATATTTATAATCTGTGTAGTCACTAATGGACATAACCAAACCATACATGATTGAGATAAAAAATTATTCTAAAGAAATATTTTGACCTATTTTATTTCTTTAGTTAAAGAATTGTATTAAACATCCTCAATTCTGTCATATATTTTAAAGCATTCTTCTTGTTGTGTGATTAAATATGCCAATCACTTCATTGCTCTGGGGACTCTAAATTATTTTTCCTTCTGGAATTTTCCTTCCTCTGACAGTTTCTTCTGAATGTGTTCTAATAGCCTGAACTGGACTGAATGCCTTTCTTAGCTTTGCCTCTAGATATGATGATGTCAAAAGCTAAATTCTATTTTGTGTAAAATAAGCGTTATTTTATTCGACTAATGAACACTGTTAATCCGCTGGGAGAAGTCACTATAATTATGACGAGTTAAATCTTTTACCAGGCTCAAGATCACATACTATTTGCCCAAACGTTTTAACACTTCATTTTCTGACCCCTTACTTTTAGGAATTTTTCTCACCTTTGCACTGAAATATTGTGGCTGCTGCTTCTCAATTCAGCATTAATTTCCTTCGCTTCCTGTAGCTCATAGCTGGGGTTGGACGGTCCTCAGAGGCCTTCAGTTTTGACACCTCTTTCCTTCCTTTTCCTCGATTAGAGCTATACAGGAATGATAATGACGACTTCGCGAAAGAAGGAATGTCTTAGAGTTAGCAGGAATTTTGGAAGGAGTCTGGGCCAGCCTTGTGTGTAAGACAGATTAACTGGCCTCCTCCCTACCCTTTTGCCCAGGGCTGTTTTCCATTCCAGAATGATCTTAAAGCCAGCCAAGACCTGTCCAAGGGTGTGTGGATGGGGTCACTAGGCACACGGCGCTTCCAATTAGCACTCTAATTTTAACTTGGCTTCTGGCCAGCGGACTTCATCTCACAGCAGATTCCAAGCACCAAAGGGAACAGTCAAGTGCATTACCTTGGTCTTATCTTGGGCCTGCCCCAGAGGTTTTGGTCAATTAAGTCTGAGGGTCATTTCGAGCAAGACAGAATCAGGATATGGAATGGAGGTTGTGAACCAAACCTGCAGTGTTATCCCAACTGGAAAAGGCTTATCAAAATAGTTCTGAGTTATCAAGGAAGCACAAAGTGCCTGGAAATGACGTTCCCAGACTGGGGAAATGGCCCAGCTGTGCTTTTTTTGGCTTTCTCTCATCTGCTCCACAGGAAAGAGATTAATCAATGGAAAAAACGCTCCCTTTCTGTTAATTAACACATGGGTTTTAGATAGTGTGGGAAATAGCAATGCCTAATGCTTTCACATCACAATTTTATTACATGGATCGCAAAGAACTTTTTAGAAAGTGGTTTTGACTTCAGCCACAAATTCACACCTATCGAGGTGTTTTATTTTATTCATGGCCCAGCTGAAACACTAGAGGCAGAAAATTCCAGAGTTCCCTAAGGTCTTCAAGTAATTGTGTGGACTAATCCAGGGAGGAGGTCTGGTGACCCTATGTAACTTACCACCAGGCAACACCTCTTTTTTTCCCATCAACAGGGAAGCAATTCACAATTCAGTGTTTCCTCATAAAACAAATTAGCAACACTTCTCCAAGGCGATAAAGACTATCTAAGACGAGAGTACCATAACGGGGCGTTCCATGTTTCAGTGTCTCCCGATGCCACTTGGTGAACTTTGGTTGAAGGATAGCTTACATCCACCACAGTGCACACATCGGGAGTGTCCAGCTGGTACATTTTCACTCAGTGAGTCTCCCCAGGTAACCATCTCCTTGCCTCTTTTGTTCAAGGTGGTGAGGCTCCGGAAACTGGCTCAGCAGATCGCCAACTGCAAGCAGTGCATTGAGCGGTCAGCATCACTCATCTCCCAGGCGGAACATTCTCTGAAGGAGAACGACCATGCCCGCTTCCTGCAGACTGCTAAGAATATCACCGAGAGGTGAGGGCAGGGGCTGCTGGGAGTTCTCAGCTACTGGGCTCTTGTATCTGGAATGCGATTGGTTAGCCTTGCCCTCGCCTTCCTTTTGTTCTCAACTGGAGGACTGAGTACCGGAAAGAATAGAGGCTTGGGATTGTTTTGTTCCAGCAAAAGATGCTTGACTTTGACATGTCAAAACCCTTTCAGTAACAGCCTGGAGTTCAAGGCCTTTGAAACAAGAGTCCACCAGTTCAAAAGAATTAAATCAGCCTGCTTTTGGGGAGCGGGGGGCGGGAGAAAGCTTATGATGTCACAAAAACAGCCTTTATTGAGACTCTCAGACCTGATCTTATCGTGTGCTTGATAACAAAGAATCAAAATGAAAGCAAACAACATAAAAGGGAATCTTTTCTTCTATCCCAGGACTCATCTATTAAAAAAAAAAACACACAGATGTTGTTCTCTGTTAGTCTATTATTTGACTGAGAAACTTCACCTCTTCTGAACAGGTCAAGGCCGACTCATGTAGGAGAGAAAAGACCAAACTGTCTATAGCAATTCCAGTGAATCCAAAGAGAAGCACTAGACTGGGCCGGTTATACCCATTGCCATGTCAATGACATCTCCCACCAATGCCAGTGACCTTGTCTTTTCATTCATTTTAGTTTTCAGAGTCAACTGCTCTTGCCCCAAAGCAATAATAGAGTCCTATCACTAGAAGACCCCAGATAGCTCATTCATGCTGATCCCCTGACTTCTAGGTTCCAAGTGTTGAATTATCTTTGCTGCTTTCATTTGGACTTCATTCAGTTCCTCTAAATTCATCCTAAAGTTAAATACTGCAAGCAGTACACTGATACTTCAGTGTACCCCGAATACTCCAATAGACAGTGTTGACACTTATGTCATGGTTTCCGACTGGGATCCAAGAGTACTTTTCTCCAGCTATAAATTGTGCAATGTCCCGATGAAGTGGCTGTTGCCAGTTGCATTTCTCAGCCATCCCTAAAAAAGTCAATCAAGTATTTGTCGTTGTTAGCTACCATCAAGTCGGCCCCTACTCATGACAACCCCATACACAACAAAACAAAATGTTGCCTGGTTCTGCGCCATCCCCATGACCAGTGGTAGATCGGACTGCTGTGATCCATAGGATTTTCATTGGCCTACTTTCAGGAGTAGATTGCCAGGCCTTTCTTCCTAGTCTGTCTTAGTCTAGAAGCTCTGCTGAAACCTGTTCAGCATCATAGCAACATGCAAACCTCCACTGACAGACAGTAGTGGCTGCATATGAGGTGCGTTGGCCAGGAACTGAGCTTGGATCTCCCGCATGGAAGACGAGAATTCTACCTCTGAACCACCAGTGCCTCCCCATAAATGTTAACTGGATCTATATTTTCATATCTCAATATGTCAGTCAACCCCTCCTTGTCTCTCTTCCTTCCAATCTTAGTCTCTGTCTGCCTGCCTCTATTCTTCAGCCTGTCACTTAAAATTCTTCTGTAGGATAGAACTTTCTAGTTCTCTGTTTCTTATCACATCAGCCTTGGCTGTGGTTCCTGTACCCTTCCCAACCATCTTTATCCTTCTACTCAAATGGGGAAATCCCAGTAGCAACTTTTTTTTCCCAGTAACAACTTTGAATCCTGCAGGAATTCCAAAAGTGAGACTTAACATACAATTTTTCTGCATTATTAAGGCACTGGAAGGGGGTATATTATTCTGCCATTGGAATCAAAACGGCAAAAATGTCTTTAATTCGGAAACATCCAAAGAACCTAAAGGAGAAAGAGCATCAAACCATCTGTGGTAGGAGCTACTTATGCTCTGAAATCAACTGTTGAGCTCTGCTCTAAGTGTGGAGTAGTCATGGGTAGCATTGGGGCTGCTCCTTAGCATGACCAAGTCTGCTTTTGTTCGAATGCTCCAAGGGGGCAGGAACTTGGCCATCTGTTTGCACCACAATAACCCCAACATACAGCAAACTGCCTGCCTGCATGAACGAATCTATAAAACAGGGCCAACTATCCTACCTAATATGGTGGTTGTAGGGATAAAATGAAATAATGTAATAAAAATATAAGCACAATTCCTGGCACATGGGGACCATACAAACAGTGCTAATTCCATTCCTTTCCGCCTCACTAAGATGACTACAGATAAAACATATACAATATTCTCAAACTGCGCCAGCATGTAGGTCTTTGGTGTGATCATTTATGCACCCTTATAAAATCATGCCAAAAAAAAAAAAAACTGGTCACCAAATCCAATCTTAAGAAAGTTGATCTACTGCTTATGAGAAATCTAAAAGTAAAATCATGTTGAGCGGCAAATTATCTGTATCAAGAGAGTGGCTAAAGAAAATTCCTTCTGAACTGTGCCCCCTTTTCAGAACATCCCTGAGCTTCTTGAGAGTCCCTGGATGGTGCAAATGGTTAAAGTCAATTCCAACTCATGGTGACCCAGTGTGTGTCAGAGTACAACTGTGCTCCATAGGGGTTTCAGCGGCTGATTTTTCAGAATTAGATCACCAGTCCTTCATTCTAAGGTGCCTCTGTGTGGTTTCAAACTGCCAACCCTTCAGTGAGTAGCCAAGCGTATTAACCATTTATCCCACCCAGGGTCTCCATCTTGGAGATGAGGGGCATCAAATTAGAAATAGAAACAAACATCTGTGGCAGTGATTAGTGGTCCAGAGAGTAATGTGCACCCCACCTTCTTAGCATCAGGATGGAAGCCTATGTTCTTATGTACACTAGTATGTTAAGAAGAGCTTAACACACATACGGACAAGTGCATACACACGCACGCACGCGCACACACAGACGTGACTATAAAGCAGGAAACTGAGAAAGTGCCATAGCACTAAGAACCCTGGTAGATTTTGACAACTTATCAGAAAGGCCAGAAGATGGGCCACAAGGATTTGAGGGAACAAAAAAACACGGCCACAAATGTTGAAGTTGGCTGAGTTCCCTTTGCCTGTCACTCCAATGGAGAATTTGAAATGGTAGCCAGAGATATGTATCTTTCCTGCCATCAAAAAAATATATAGGTGTTAAAAGCCCGAATAATCTCCAAAGATTCTGGCTGTCAGTCTTTGCCTCCCAGTCTTCAGAGCTCTCTCAGGTTCCCACCATCAAGATGGCAGGCATTTTTAGCAGTGCCACTTGACTGAAGCATTTTTTTTATTTGATTTGGGGGGGACTATAGAACCAGGTATGGGGCAGTTCTGTCCTGTCACATGGGATCACTGGGAGTCAAAAATAACTCAACGGCACCTAACAACAACAACAATATCGAACCAGGAGGAACTCGAGAAGAAAATCTATTTTGGATGAGTCTTCTGCCACCGGGCAGAGGGAGGTCAGAAGCCCGATGGTTTGTGTTCAGAGCCATTGCGATCCTCTAATCTGTTGAGCACAAGGTCTGTGCCCTACGTGAACAGCAGAAACATGCAGTTGAAAGTTAGGCACCTGTTTCAATGTAATTCAATGCACTTCTCCCTGCTGGACACCACAAAACAGAATCAGCTGGGTCGTTCCCTCTGAACATTTTATTTGAAGTGGGCAAATGGCACCATAGTATTCCTTTGAAATTTTCTGCATTGATGCAAATATCTTGAGCTCTTTTGTATGTGGCATACTAGAAGTAGTTGGAAGGTATTTGTTGAATCCTTGTTTAATAAGTCTGTGACCTTGTCTTGGTTACCTAGTGCTGCCATAACAAAAGGTATCACAAGTGAGTGACTTTAAAGAACAGAAATTTATTTTCTCACAGTTTTGAGGCTAGAAGTCCAAATTAGGGTCTTGGCCATGTCGATTCTTTCTGTGGGGCTCTCTCCAACTTTCTAGTCTGCCAGCAATCCTTGGTGTTGCTTTGCTTGTAGGTGATCCTCATATGGCATCTGTTTTCCCCCGTGTATGTGTCTGTGTCTATTCTGCTCTTTTTATAAGATACCACTCAAAAGGGATTAGGTTTAGGACCCACTCTATTCTGGTGTGATCTCTTTAACATAACAAAAGAAAATCCTTGTTTCCAAAGGGGGTCGTGTTCACAGGTATAGGGGTTAGGACTTCAACATAACTTTTTGGGGTACACAATTCAATCCATAACAAACTCTGAGTTTGGAGCACTTTTTCTGTTTACAGATGATAAAGACAGCATTTTCTGAGTACATTTTGAAGATCTGTGAAAAATGCCTAACAGCCATCCCCTCAACCATTAGTAGTAACAATGATTAGCCCAATTCCCTTGGGTGCAATATTGAGCCAACAAAATCACACAACTCTGCTGTCTAGTGCTTCTTGGTGAAAGGGTCAGGAGGTGAGGTTAAATTCTCCACCCTCAACCAAACACTTGAAACCTTTCTTTCCAGGGTTTATGCCTCTTCAAATTTTCATCAGTGGATCCCAATATCACTCCAATGATGACATTGTTGATTCACCTCTTTCCTTCCTTCCCTCCCTCCCATCTACATGTGTAGAATATTGCACATGTGCCGGAAATGCCGCAACTATCGTTAACTTGATTTCTAAAGATTTAGAGCATTTCGCAGGTATAAATTTTTATATAATAAGCTTTATTTTTCAGAGCAGTTTTAGATTTACAGAAAAATTGTGTAGAAAGTACAGAGTTCCCATATAGCCCCTCCGCCCCATACACATAGTTTCCCCTATTATTAACATCTTACATTGGTGTGGTACATTTGCTACGATTGATGAACCAATACTAACACGTTATTGTTAATTAAAGTCCATAGCTTACATCAGGGCTCACTCTTTTGTGTTGTACAGTCCTACGGGTTTTGACAAATGCATAATGTCATGTGCCCACCATTATAGTATCACATAGAATAGTTTCACTGCCCTAAAAATGCCCTGGGCTCCACCTCTTCACCCCTCTGTCCCTCCTTCCCCACCCCTGAACCCCTCGCCACCGCTGATCTTCTCACTGTCTCTATAGTTTTGCCTTTTCCTGAATGCCCTGTAGTTGGAGTCATACCATGTTTGTCTTTTCAGACTGGCTTCTTTCACTTAGCAATATGTGTTTAAGGTTCTTCCACATCTTTCTGTAGCTTGATAGTTCGTTTCCTTTTTATTGCTGAATACTATTCCACTGTATGGACGCACCACAGTTTGTTTATTCATTCGCCTATTGAAGGACATCTTGGTTGCCGCTAGTTTTCAGAACTGCTGAATAAAGCTGCCATAAACTTTCATGTGCAGATTTCACAGGTGTAATTTTTATAGTAAAGGTATATTATCTTTGTAGAATCTGAAGTTTTGAAGAGCCGTTAAGAGACCTAAGAAGAGATACCACCCTGGAGGTGATAACTAGGCTGAAATTTTTCTTGATTAAATGGAAGTGCACAAACCTGGAATTCGCCTCCTGGCTGCTGTCAGCCAGGTTTGTGACCTTGTCACAATGCTCTTATTTAGAAAACGAATAATAATCTAGATTTAGAGCTAGATTATTTCAGAGTCATTTCTTTGCTCTAAAATTGACAGTGCCTTACACGGTACCCTGCACATAAAACCAACCAGTTGCTATGGAGTCTTTTCTAACTCCTGGTGACCCCATGCGTTTCAGAGTAGAACCGTGCTCCATTGGGTTTTCAATGGCTGGATTTTCAGAAGTAGATCACCAGGCTCCTCTGGGTGGACTTAAATCTCCAACCTTTCTGTTAGCAGCCCAGCGTGTTAACCATATGCACCACCCAGGGGCTCCACCCTGCATATAGTAGCTCCTTAGTAAGCGTTGTTTACCGAATTTAACAAAATTGTCAAAAACAAGATTACAAATCCAACATGGCTTGATATGCTCAGAAGTGGTGTGCTTCGTGCTGAAATTCTCTTGTTTTAAGCAAATCGCTCACATTTTTCAATCAGTTAAAATATTCTGCAATAACTGAACTTATCAAATCAACTTGAGAGTACATAGAAGGAGATTGATTCATACCAATGCTTTGCTTTCTAGTTTGCAAGGGGAGACCTCTAACCAGAAAGAGAAATGGTGCATCCTCTAGGGAATTTGTGAGAATGCTCATGAATATTTTCCACGGCATCTGCTGGGAATATGGTGCAAGAAAATGAATACAAGGAGGACAAAAAAGCCAGACCCAAACTTGTTTTTTAAAGTTTATTTTAGAGAGAGGCTAGGAGTTGATCAAACTAGTCCGATATCTGGAAACATTTTTTTTTTTTTAATCTTTACTTTGCCTGTTATGCAGTTTGAAACGTTGGGGACTCTCTTCTTTGAAGCCGGGCAGGGCCTGGGTCTGAAAGGAACAAACAGTTTTCCAGACAGATGTGTGAAGAAATGCCTGGAGCGACATGCTTCTCCAGAGTTAGATGTGACCGGGCCAGGCTGTTAAATACACAGCAACATGAAATATGAATATTTGCTCACCTCCAGGGGAATTGGTTTTCGCCAGTAAAAAAGGAACGGAACAAAGCCATTCTGTTGTTGTCCCAGTTTCTTTGCCTTTTTGTAAAAACTTGCATTCATTTGTTTTGTCTTAATATGTTATGCCCTGCCAAGATTATTCTTAAGCCTCATGTGTAAAAACAGCACTATTTTAAAAAAACTTTTTAATTATTGTGGTTTTGTATGTATATATATAACAAAACATTTGCCATTTCAATCATTTTCATGTGTACAATTCAATGACATTAATTACATTTGCCAGGTTGTGCAAGCATCACCAATGTCCGATTGCAATAACTCCCCCTTTCCCCTTCCCATCAGCCCCCAGTGACCACTAATAGACTTTGGGCTCTATGCACTTGCTTATTCTAGATATTTCATATAAATGGAATCATACAATATTTGCCTTTTTATGTCTGACTTATTTCACTCAATATGATGTTTTCAAGGTTTGTCTATGATGTAGCTTGTATGTCAGGACCTTAGTTTCTCTTTATGGCTGAATAATAGTCCATTGTATGGATAGACCCCATTTTGTTTGTCCAGTCATCTGTTGATGGACCCGTGAGTTGTTTCCACCTTTTGGCTACTGTGAATAGTGCCGCAGTGAACACTGGTGTACAAGTATCTTCTTGAGTCTCTGCTTTCGAGCCTCTCGGGAGTGGAATTGCTAGGTCAATTTTTTTAACGATATTTGTTTTCCTTTTATTTCTTTCATTCCTAAGCAATGATGATGAAAGCCATCTTGACATTTCTAAAAAGTTTTTTTTTTGTTTTTTTTTTTTTGTAATTACAGAGTCTCCATGGCAACTGCTTCCTCCCAGGTTCTAATTCCTGAAATCAACCTCAATGATACATTTGATACCTTTGCCTTAGATTTTTCCCGAGAGAAGAAATTGCTAGAATGCCTGGATTACCTTACAGGTATTATCTTTTATGTTCTCTTTAATATTGTAAACATTCAGTGATACAAACACTTTGCCAAGAGATGAATTTCCTAAAAATCAGAGATATGGGCTTTTGACTTAGGAATGGATACAAGTATTGTCATAAATAATTGCTGTACATTCTTTTTTTTTAACCAAAACAACACAGCTCAAGACTAAATTGGGGACAGGAGAGAAACAAAAATCTTGATCATTAAAAACATGCTTAGCACTATTTCCCTTAACTCTCAGTGTGGGGTATCACAAATAATAGCTCCACTGGCCATCAAGGTAGCGTGGATATTTTTCAGTTCATGTTAGCAAGGCATCTATATCAGTTAGGGTATTCCAGAGCAACAGAACCAATAGAGTGTGTGTGTGTGTGTGCACACACATGTACACACACACATATGTTGTTATTGTTGTTAGTTGCGATCGAGAAGACTCCGACTCACAGCGACCCCATGCACAACAGAACGAAATGTTGCCCAGTCCTGCGCCATCTTCACAATCGTTGGGATGCTCGAGTCCATTGTTGCAGCCACTGTGTATTTTGAGTGCCTTCTAACCTAGGGGGCTCATCTTCTAGCACTATATAGGACAATATTCTGTTGTGATCCACAGGGTTTTCTTTGCCTGATTTTCGGAAGCAGATCACCAGGCCTTTCTTCCTGCTGGTATTTGAAATACCAGTGGCATAGCTTCCAGTATCATAGCATCACACAAGCCACCACAGTATGACAAACTGATAGACAAGTAGTGGACACACACACATGGATGTATATATATATAGAGAGAGAGAGACTGATTTATTGATTGAATCTAAGGAATGGCTCATGAAATTGTGGAGCCTGGCAAGTTGGAAATATATAGGGCAGGCCAGCAGGCTGGAAATTCCAATAGGATTTCTGTGTTATAGTCTTAAGGCAAGATTCCTTCTCTAGGAAAGCTCAGTTTTTGCTCTTAAGGCCTTCAGCTAATTGGATGAGGCCCACCCACGTTATTGAGAGAAATCGCCTTTACTTAAAGTCAACTGTTTGTGAATGTTAACCACGTCTACAAAATACCTTCACAGCAACATCGAGACTAGTGTTTGACCAAACAACTGGGCACTGTAGCCTAGCCAGGTTGACTCATAAAATTAACCCTCACAGCATCTGGCTCACAGTGAGTCGGCAGAGAAAAAGTTGGCAGCTAACTTTGACTGAGCGTCTCCCCTTCTCCAGCCCTTTGTGTTTACGACCTCATTTAATCTTCACAACACCGACTGGAGGTAAGTCTTCCACGCACCACCCATGGTCGTCGAGTCGATTCTGACCCATAGCGACCCTGTAGGACAGAGTAGAACTGCCCCATAGGGTTTCCTAGGCTGTAATCTTTACGGAAGCAGACTGCCACATCTTTCTCCCATGAAGCTACTGGTAGGTTTAAATCGCCAAACTGTCAGTTAGCAGCTGAGTGCTTTAACCACTGCGCCACCAGGGCTCCTTTGGAGGTAAGTATTATAATCCTCATTTTGCAAAGGAGGGAGGTATTCTGACTTGCTGGAGGTCAGATAGCTAAAGAGTGGCAGAACTGGTGTTTGGCTCAGTCTGTACAGACTCCAAAGACCTCCACTTTTTCTAGTAAACGGCTGAATTCCATCTTGGAAATCTATGGCAAATGTAGCAGAAATCCCATTGGAAGTCGAGGTATCATGTTTCAACTCTGTGCTTTTTTGATAGGCATTTTTTTTTGGTCAAGCTTAAAAAAACAAAACCAACAACCAAAAGGAAAACGCCATGCTACTCCTATTCCTTCTAAACTTTTCTTTGCTTTCAACCTCTAAAGCGAGGTCTGGTGAGAATATTTGCTGGTCGAACGTGGACTGTTTCGACGACATTGGTTGAGTTAGCCAAATGCAACTGCTGCTTGTGACTCCAGGAAGGCACAATGTACACAGTGAAGCGAGATGTGCCCTGAGTTCAGGACATGCAGCCTGCGAGAAAACCACCTCTCCAACTTAGCGCAACATCAGCTTCTCAGCTCTCATTCTGGGTGTGCGGGTTTTTAGGAGAGTGGTTGGGAGAGACGGAGCAAGAGAGAGGGAATGGCGTGTGATGTCTTGTGTTGATAGTCTTTGGGTAGAAAACACGGAGTTCTGTATTCGAGGAGCGTATACCCAGAAGAGCAGAGTCTTTTCTTTGCAAGGACCTGCATTCCTGCATTTACGAGGAAGTTGAGTTGTCCCACAAGCTTCTTTTTTATCTTATGTAATTCTCTCTTTCAAACCATACCACTCCTATTAAGGAAGAAAGAAATGGACTCAAAAAGCATTTACAGAAAGGAATTGAATTTGGTTTCAAATATTTGTGAATATAATGCCCTCCTTTTTAAGCTTTTAACTCTGAGATTGACCTCAACCAACACTGTCCATTAGCACTTTCTAGATGAATGGGTATGTTCTATATCGCCACTGGCCAGTATGGTGGTGGCCGTTAGCCACATGGGACTATTGAGAACTCGGAAGGTGGCTAGTGAATTTTTACTTTGATTTCACTTTAATTAAGTTTCATTGAGATTTAAATAGCCCTGTGTGCTAGGGGCTACTGTATTGGACAGTGCAGGTCTCGACTTTCCCAGGCTGAGCTGTTTTTCACTATGACATCCTGTTAAAAATCCCCTTTCTTCTTACATCATTTGGGAATGAGTTTGATCACAAGTAACAGTAAATCCAACTAGCAGTGACCAAACCCATCAAGGAATGTTCGTATCACAGAACCAGGAAAACAGCCGCAGGTGGTCCAGGGCTGGGCAGTGGTTCAGTGATAACCTCAGACCCCAGGCTCTTTTCCTTTTTCTGCTCCGCCGTCTTAATTGTGCTGTCTTTTTGCCGCATAATCGCAATGTGGCTATTCCATCTCTAAGCATCATACTCAAGTTCTAGGCAAAAAGAAGGGGGCAGAGGGTGGACAAAAAGCTCTGCCAGTCAAGTTTGTCCTTCTTTATCAGGAAAATAAAAATATACTTCAAAGACCCACCTAGCAAACCTCCACTTGTGTCTCACGGGCCAGAACCATGTCACAAGGTCATAGGCAAGTGCAGAGGAGACTGGAAAATTAAGTATTTGGCTGAGGAGATGGCCATTTTGTACAAAATAAGCATATCGTTGACAAGAATGTGTCCACTCAATTTCCCAATAATTTTTTAATAGTATTTCAACAATGGATGCCCATTCTAAGCTCTATGTGAATGCAAAAGTGCTGATTAAAGGCAGAAATGTGAAATTTGTTTGCACTGAATGTAATGTGTATACCATATATCATCCTGATGGCTGTTTATGCCAAACTAAAGCCCATATGGGGTACCTGTTATTATGCCTTCTTAGCCATCAACCCCAAAGAGAAATTTGGTCCATTTCTAGACATAACATGGATCATGGCCATAACACGCGATGCTTGACTGATATTGCCAAGTCCAAATAGTTTATCAGACATTTGTAAGCAGGAAATGAAGTGTTTGTAGAGTATTAGCTCACAGTTCCTCATGTTCTGTTGGAGACAGAGGCAAGAAAATAACAGCTCTGGTCCCCATTCTGTGGATATTGAAATTGACAGCAGGCTGCTGCTGCCATTCACAGTAAAATGTATATTGACTTTTCAGGACAAAATCCACTGGGCTTATAATCCAAACAGGGCGATTATGTTTAATGCCAGTTAGCTGGCCTGGTTGCAAAAACAAGATTTTTTTTCCCCCTGTCATGACTCTAAGTGGGATGTCAAGTTAATAACCCAGAAAGGTGACATTTTCTCCTTGATTGTGACTACTACCATGTGTCTCACAGTTATTTGCCTATTTTGAAGATAGGTTTTCTTCATATTTAATAAAATATTGTAATACAGAAAAGAGCAAGATCTTTCTTCAGTGTTTGGTGGAGATGTGATTCAATGAACTATTTAAACTGTGGAGAACAAGGATTTCTTCACTGATCTCTGCAAGGTTGAGCCCACACCCACAGGGACCACACAGACAGTAATGAGTGCATTTTACGATGCGGCTGGGCCTCCCCATGGAAAGCACTTCCTGGTGGCAGAGCTAGTTCATGCACATCCAAGTTACACCATAGCATGCTCAGTCTTGCATGTGGATGCTTCGGGAGGCAGATGTAAAAATACATATTTCAGAAAGTAGGATTTAAGTGTATGTAAAAAAAATCAGTTGCTACTGAGTCGACTCCAACTCATGGTGACCCCATGTGTGTCAGAGTAGAACTGTGCTCCATAGGGTTTTCAATGGCTGGTTTTTCAGAAGGAGATCACCAGGCCTTTCTTTTGAGACACCTCTGGGTGGACTTGAACCTCCAACCTTTTGGTTAGCAGCCTAGTGCCACCCAGGGACTCCCAGGGTTATGTAGAGCCCTTCTGTTTTTAATGCAGAACTTAACACAGTGCCTGCCACATTGTAGGGACTCAGTAATGTCCATGGAATTCAATCACTAATAGACAAAGCTGGACTACTTGATTTAATACACCAGGCCTAAAAGTTACTTGCTTCTTATTATACTTATCCTGGATATATCATCTTCAGGTGGCAAAGTGAAGAATATTAAAATAATCAGAGTTTTAAAGTTACCATTTTCATAAACTTGGTTCTCTCTTTGAATTTGTTTTGGACTCCTCAATCCTGATCATAGTTTAGAACAAGGGAGATCTCTATAATTGTGTAAGCAAAGCTTGATACTTGTCTGTAGAAGGCAGATATGTTTCTCCTTTTGTAGTTAGGTATGGTGTACAGAAGAGTGAAACCAAAGGCCCTAGATCAGGAGTTGGCAAACCTTTTCTGTAAAGGGCCAGATGCAAAATATTTTAGGTTTTGCAAGCTATTCGGTTGCAACTACTCAACTCCGCTACTGCACAAAAGCAGCCATAGACAATATGTAAACAAATGGGCATGACTGTATTCCAATAAAACTTTATTTACAAAAACAGGCAGTGGGCCAGATTTGGCCCACAGGCCATAGTTTGCCAATCCCTGCTCTAAAATATTATTGCCAGTGGAAAGCACTCATTGCCTTGCCTGGTCTTTTTCTTGCCCATAACCTCTTCTCATAAAACCAGTCACTGAAATCAATCCAGTAAAAGTCATTTTAAAATAATTATTTTGGTAGGATTTAGATTTTTCTGTGTTGAAGAATGTGTTAAGGAAATGAAACAGCAGGCTTCTCTAGGGATAAAGTTAACTAAATGTCAAGGAATCATGTTTTCCTTAGGGAGAAAAATATACTTCTTAGATATTATTAAATTGTTAATCACATTCTTTTTAAAATTTGAAGTATCACCTTAAATTGAGAAGTGAGAAGAAACTAGGCTGCACTAACAAGTTTTGCTTGTAAGGCATCAAAGCATCTAATGAAAGAAAAGTTTCAAACAATTATTTGGCTCGTTTGCTATGAGATAACAAAGCATCAGTATTTTTCCAATTAAACCCATTGCTGTCGAGTCGATTCTGACCCATAGTGACCCTATATAAAAATATCTGGCATCATGTAGATCCGGGATTGGTAAACTTTGGCTCATAGGCCAAACCTGGCCCTCTGCCTGTTTTTATAAATAAAGTTTTATGAGAACCCAGCCTTGCCCATTCATGTGAGTATTGTCTATGCTGCTTTCACACTACAACAGCAGAGTTGAGTAGTTGCAGTGAAGACCATATGCTGCAAAGTCTAAAATATTTGCCATCTGATCCTTGACTGAAAAAGTTTGCTGACTTCCAATGTATATGAAACCGTGGTATGTTTACTTTTTGTTTCACATGTTCTTCCATCATGCACAAGGAGCCTCCTAAACCTCTGGTAAACAAAGCTAAGTCCATATTGGCTGACTCTAGCCACACTGCCTGTTAAAAGTCAAAAGATAATCAGCAGACCAAATGTTGTTTGGATTGGGATCACCATCTCTAGGACAGTAGTCCTGGTGGCCATAGTTAGAAAGGCCTGAACTGATGAGCATTCTTGACCCCACAGCTCCCAACCCTCCCACGATTCGAGAAGAGCTCTGCACAGCTTCTTACGATACCATCACTGTCCACTGGACCTCCGACGATGAGTTCAGCGTGGTCTCCTATGAGCTGCAGTACACCATCTTCACCGGACAAGCCAACGTTGTTAGTGAGTATCGCATCACCTCTATTTCTCTCTTTGGTGGTGATTTTCAGAAAGACTGCATTCTGGAATTTAAACATCAAGGGAAGACAAGGAAGGAAAGGGGATGCAATATTTATTGGCTTAATTGTCTTTCCCTCTACTACACTAGTGAAAATAGCTGGCCAAGCATCCAAGAAAACTAATGACTTCTGGTAAACCACATGAATGAATGTCACATATTGTTAAAGGAAAGAAGCAAGAAACAAAAGATTATCTGCAGTATGAGTCCATTTATAAAAGCTTCGAAAACTTAATGATCAACTATTTTGTTGAGGAATGCATGCACAGGTATTAAAACTATTTTTAAAAGTAAGGAAATGCTTACCTCCAGGATGGGAGGGAAGTGACACCATTGGGAAGAAACACTTGGGGGCTCCTGGGGTGAGGTTAATGACAATTTCTGGATGGGAGTGACATGCTTTAGTCATTATACCATACATTTGAGTTCTATGTACTTTTCTGTGAGTGTGTTATTTCACAATAAAAAAATATTTAATAAAATAAATAACCAAAGAACACCATATACCTGGTGTCATTCCGAGGAAAAGCAGGGGCCTTCACTGGAAGTGTTAGTAATAAGTGTTAGTAATTAGTAATTCTTCCCTACCTGGGAAGAATTCCAGGCCTTGACTGAAACACAGAGGGTTTGCATGAGGCCAGTTTGATGTTTGGCATCAGGGACAATTTTATGATCACAAATAGCAGAAGTAGCTGGGCAGAGAGATGATAATAGAGGAAGTACTCCTCCCCACACCAAGGCGTTATTTCAGTTGAGTTGAGCAAATTGCAAAGGACCAGAAGAAATATCCTTTCAAGGGAGCAAGTTGAAACTTCTTTAGCAAAAAAAAAAATGAAATAGGCCAAAGTGAAAAGCAGCAGTCACTTGCAACAAAGAGATGTTTTGGATAAATTCTTATCAACTGAATGTGCTTTTATTATGTAAACTTTTTCTCTCTTAACTACACTATACCTTCCTACCAGTAACTGTACTAGTTGCTGTTGAGTCAGTTCCAACTCATGGCTACCCCATGTGTGTCAGAACAGAACTGTGCTCCACTGGGTTTTCAGTGGCTGATGTTTTGGAAGTAGATCTTCAGGCCTTTCTCTGAGGCACTTCTGAGTCAAATCTCCAACCTTTCAGTTAGTAGCCGAATGCATTAACCATTTGCACCACCCATGGATTTCCTAGTACAAGTAATTCTGAGACACATGATACTTAAAATAGAAACGTGATTTGGAATTAATTAATAAGACAGAAAGATCCCTGCTTCTAAGTGACTAAGTTATAAATGACCCATGTGCACCAATGGCTCCTGTCACCTTCCTTATATCACTTTTTCCAAGTTTCCCATCCCCATCCCTCTCACTTTTCACCCTCTAATTGGTCTTCCTTGGAAGCTCTTATTAAAAACTTGGCTTTTTCCAAGAATGTGTAATTTTGGAGTGAAAGGGGAAGAAGCCATGAAACATCGAAAACAGCTTTGGTGAGTTGCCTGAGTAGGTAAGGAAGACGGTGAGGGCAAGAATTGTGGGTGGGACAAAAGGATCTCGAGGGGAGTAGGGTTAAACTAAGTCTTGAAAGATGAGTGGGTGTGTATCAGCCCGGTAAGGGTATCCCAGACAGCTCCATCATTATAAGCAAACCTACAGAGATATAAAACAGCAAGGCATATTAGGAGATCTCATCATCTGATTAATCATGGCAGGGTCACTGAGTGAGGAAGGAAAGACAGTGAGAGATGAAGATAGAGAAATGGAACCAAGACTCAAATTCATGTCAGTTTGGCTCCAAAGTGCATGTTCTTAATCACCAGTCACTAATCCTAACTCACAGGCAACAGCTAGATCATGGAACACCCCCCAGGTCACATCGTGTTTGGATTTTTTGCCCTGTGCACTTGGGAGGCATGCAGGGCCATACCATGATTCAATGTGCAATTAGAAAACTGGCTGTAGCAGCACTGTGGAAGGTAGAGTGGAACAGAGCAAGACTAGAAGCAGAGACTTCAGCTAGGAGCCTCATAGAAATTCACATAAACAGAAAATATCTAGGACCTGAAAATGGCACTAGCAGGGGAGAGGTAAAAGAAGACCATTCCAGAAAGGCTTTGGCCCACATTCCCAGGAAACACCATCCCTGATCTCCAATATTTGGAGTGTTTCAATGGGCAAGTCTGAGAAACACTGGTACGGCAACAGTTAGGCAGCGTTTTTGCTCTCCTTTTAGGATTTTGAATTCCTCTGATGTCATTTCTCATCCCGGGTTCTATGTGCTCTGCTATAGTGGGTTGAGTATTAAGTTAAGGTCTCACTATTTAGAATGTAATTGTGATGATGATATGCAAATCATGATGAAGTACTTTCCTTTTTTAAGTATCACACAAACACAAATGTATAGAGTGACAAGTTTATCTTTCTCAATATCCATCAGCCACCCAAGATAATCTATTTATAGACAAGGATACATGAAACACTGATACATTTTTTAGGGACACAAAGAGTAGCATATCATATATAGTTTTTCACCTTACCTTACTTTTTTCACTAAATAATATACCTGAGAGATCATTCCATTTCAGCACATATAAAGAGCTGCCTCGTTCTTTTTTAAGGCAGTGTAGTATCCTATTATGAAAATGTGCCCTGATTTATTTAGCCCATTTTTTATTGATATTTCACTTGTTTATAATCTTCTGTTATTATAAACAATGCTTCAGTGAATACCCTTGAACATCTCTCCTTTCTCACTTGGGGAATTGTATCTGTCACATAATCCCTTGAGGTGGAATTGCTAGGTCAAAGATTATTTGCATTTTAATTTTGGTTGACATTGCCAAATTACCCTTCAGAGAGGTTAAATATGATTTTCCAGCTGTATGAGCTTATACTTCACTGCTTTTTGATACATACATCATGAATGTAACATGGAATTGAAGTCCAGTAAGATTTTCAAACCTTGATTGTACTTCACTACAAAGCCAGAATAGAAATTACCCTATAGTCATTAATGTAATAGTAAATAGTCACCCTTCATTCAAGCAGTGATTTTCAACCAGAGGCAGTTCTGGCCCCCAGGGGATATTTGGAAATGTCAGAAGACATTTTTGTTTTCACAACTGGGTCAGGAATGCTACTGGCATCTAGTGGGTAGAGGCCAGAGATGCTGCTAATCATCCTACAACACACAGGCCACCCACTCCCCCACAACAAAGAATGATCTGGCCCAGAATGTCAGTAGAAACCCTAACTTAAAGCAAGGTAAATAAATAGGGTCTACATGATTACATTCTAAATGGTGAGACCATAAGTTAACACGCTAACCCACAAACCACTATACTATATAGCTTCGAAGGGAAAACACCACAAAAAGAAGAAAATATAATTAATTTCCTTTTACCTTAAGGAATTACCCTCTCAGTGTTGAGGAATGAAGAGTAGTAGCATATTGGGTGAATGGAATCAGAATTATATCAAACAATGACCACTTGAAGAAAGATGAAATATAAAAGATGGTCAGAAATCCCAAGGCAATTGGAGGAAAGGAGGGCTTAAAGGTATGAGAACAGGAAGAGTATGGAGGCACGATTTGTTGGAAAGAGTGACCTAGGTTCAATAAGCATTGTGTCAGATTCAAAAAACACTTGGAGAAGGTTCTCTGAAAACACACAGACTAAAAGAATCATGCCTGTTGATGACTGAATAGTGTAACTGCAAAAAGAAAACATTTGGAGTCATTTTGTATCTAAAGGGTGGTTCTTGGCTAGTGTGAGGAATATTACATTTCTCTGAGATCATTTTTACTTGATCCAGAAGAGATGACATATTAGTTTTCTATGGCTGTGTAACAAATTTATCAAAACTTAGTGGCTTAAAATAACACTCATTTATTTTTTTTATTTTTTTATTGTGCTTTAGGTGAAAGTTTACAGAGCAAATTAGTTTCTCATTAAACAATTAATACACAGATTGTTTTGTCACATTGGTTGCCAACCCCACGATGTGTCAACACTCTCCCCTTCTCCACTCCGGGTTCCCTGTTTCCATTCATCCAGCTTTCCCGTCCTTTCCTGCCCTCTCATCCTTGCTTTTGGGCTGGTGTGCACATTTAGTCTCGTATACATGATTGAACTACGAAGCACGTTCCTCATGTATGTTGTTGTTGGCCCCATAGACCTGTCTAATCTTTGGCTGAAGGGTGAACCTCGGGAGTGACTTAAAGAGGGTGTAAAGGTGAGAGACTTGAGGCTGCAGAGACTTGGAAGTGGATGAGTTAAAAGAGTGTCCGGGGCCCATACTCTTGGGATTTCTCCAGTGTCTGTCAGACCAGCAAGTCTGGTCTTTTGTGTGTGTGTGAATTTGAATTTTGTTCTACATTTTTCTCCTGCTCTGTCCATGACCCTTTACTGTGATCCTTGTCAGAGCAGTCGGTGGTGGTAGCCAGGCACCATCTAGTTGTGCTGGGAAGACAACACTCATTTATTATCTCACAGTTTCCATGGGTCAGGAGTCTGGACACGGCTTAGCTGGGTTCTCTGCTCAGCATCTCACAAGCTGAAATCAAGGTGTTGGCTGAGGCACACTCTCATCTGGAGGCTCAACTAGGGAAGAATTCACTTCCAAGTTCCTTCGGGTTGTTGGCAGAATTTATTTTGGTTATGGAATTCATGGCAGCTTGCTTCTTCAAAGCCAGCAACAGATAGTCTCTGCAGCCTCAAGTCTCTCACCTCTACACCGTCTTTAAAGGGCTTGCTTGATTAGGTCAGACCCACCCAAGATAATCTCCCTGTTGATAATGGAAAGGCAACTGATTGGGACCATTAATTATATCTGCAAAATCCCTTCAGCTTTGATATATAAAGTAACATAATCATAGGAGTGATATCCCATCACCTGTGACCTTTGCCATATTCTATTGGTTAGCAGCAGGACACAAGTCCCACGTACACTCAAGGGGAGAGGATCAC